CTCAAGTTGTGATCTCTGCACTAGAGATACTGCAAACCTCGGCACCGAGTATGACACCAATAGCCACAGTTCCGTTTACTCCTGCACCTGGCTATTTGCACCAGAGAGACCTTGCAGTCTCGTCAACTTCTAACTATCCATATCTAGGCCTGGACAAACTATCCTACTCAGCATCATCCAAATACATGTCATCACCTATATTATTATCTAGTGATGATGATGATGAACCAGGGTTTTTTTCACTCCAGCTGTTGACAGGCACAGAGACATCAGGGCATTCACCCCATGCCAATATTGCCCATCCTACCAACGTGGATATGCCCCCATAAGCACCATATCCTTGGATATCACCACCAATGCATTATCCACCACAATGGCAGTATTGAAGCCCACGGACTCAACATCACAAAAAGAGACTATTAAAGAAAAAGCACGCTATAAATGCACTTTCTCTCCTGTCCCAATCCCCCCAGTACATCAGAAATACTGTGTTCTCCCAAAGGGGTCAAAGGTCTTATTCACACATCCACCACCAAACTCCTTGGTAGTTTACACTATTCATCAAAGAAATAAACAACAGCAAAATCATTCTATGCCATCGGATAGAGACAACAAGAGACTTGACATGTTTGGCAAAAAGGTTTATGCCTCAGCTACATTACAACTAAGAGTAGCCAACTATGCGATACTCCTCAGCAAATATGATTTTAACAACTATACAGAGTTCAATACTTTTAGTGATGATACACAGAGGCAAAGAAGCCACAGTTTAGAGTGGCCATTGTGGAAGGCCAGGCAACATCGAGGACAGCCCTGCAAGCTGTCCTAGATGTGGCGGACACAGCCATCAGAGCAACAGCTACTGCAGTTGTTATGAGACGAGCTTCATGATTCAGTTCCTCCTCCTTCCCTCGAGAAATCCAGTTGTCCGTTGACAATCTACCGTTTGAGGGCAAGAGGCTCTTTTCATCCAAAACTAATGAGGTCCTCCACTCCATGAAGAACTCTCAGGCCATGCTTCACTCCTTTGGCATTCATACACCTGCAACAAGGAGGAGGCAATATACATGCCAACCATAACCAGAGGCCCAGATTATCCCCCTTCACATGCCAATACCAAAGGCAAGAATACCCACCACATCAACAACATTGCACAGGTCAGGGGCCCAGGATTAAGCCGCAACATCTACATGGACCAAAATGTTTTCCACCAGGCCAGGATCTGGATAGGGAATGAACTGAGGGGAGGGTGGTTGTGCATGTGCAGTGGCATGCATGGCCTGAGTGCACTGCTAAGAAGAATCCACTCTGAGGTGCTGGGACGCACCAACACCTGCTGTGGAGCACCCTCAGGGATGCTTATCTTGAAGAATGTCAGTTACAGCCAAAAGTAAGTAAGCTCCTCTTAAAAGAGTAAAAACAGGGGCTTTGGTTCCTATCACTGGAACATCAGAAACTTAGTTTTTAATTTCTGAAATTAAAAGGTACAGTACCAAAAGTAGGAATAAATGGTCAGTTTTCAGAATGGAGAGTGGTAACTGTGGTGTCCCACAGGGGTATGTACTGGCACCAATCTTATTCAACATGGGGAAAGAGGTAAACAGTGACGTGGCAAATTTTACAGATGATACTAAACTGCTTAATATAGTGAAGTCCAAAGCAGACTGTGAAGAGCTTTATAGAGGATTTCAAAAAAAATGAGGTGACTGAGCAATAAAATGGCAAATGAATTTTAATGTTAATAAATTCAAAATAATGCATATTGGAAAACATAATCCCAACTTTATGTACAAAATGATGGGGATTAAACTATATGTACAAAACGATGGGGACTATTATCACTTAAGAGAGAGATCTTAGATTCATTGTAGATAGTTCTCTGAAAACATCCACTTAATGTGCAGCATCAGTCAAAAAACCAAACAGAATGTTAGGAATCATTTAAAAGGGGATAGTAAATAAAACAGAGACTATTTTATTGCCACTATATAAATATATGGGGTATGCCCACATCTTCAACACTGCGTGGAGATGTGGTCACTTCATCTAAAAAAAAATACCTTAGCATTTGAAAAAGTTCTGAAAAAGAGCAACAAAAATCATTTGGAATGGCTTTCATATTGAGGAGAGATTAAAAAGACTGGAACTTTTCAGCTTAGAAAAGAAGGAGACTAAAGGGGAATATGATAGAGGTCTACAAATTCAGGATTGCTGTGGAGAAAATGATTAAGGAAAAGTTATTTACTTGTTCCCATAACAAAAGAACTAAGGGTTACCAAATGAAATTAATAGGTAACAGGATTAAAACAAACAAAAGGAAGTATTTCTTGATGCAACCCACAGTCAACCTGTGGAACTCCTTGCCAGAGGATGTTATGAAGACCAGGACTTTAACAGGGTTCAAAAAGGAAATTTATCTAGGATAGGTCCATCAATGGCTATTAGCCAGAATGGATAGGAATAGTATCCCTAGCCTGTTTGTCAAAAGCTGGGAATAGGTGACAGGGAAGGGATCACTTGATGATTACCTGTTCACTCCCTCTGGGGCACCTGTCATTGGCCACTGTTGGAGGACAGAATACTGAACTAGATGGACCTTTGGTCTGACCCAGAATGGCTATTCTTATGTAATGTAGTTCATAGCATATAGGTTTTACCCTTGAAACCTAGGCCAATCCCCTCTGTTAGAACCTTCATTCTTCTTAGTGTCATTGTTGCGTGTAGCATAGGTGGGGGCAGGAGAAAGTCCAAGCATGTAGCCCCTGCAGTTTCTTTTATACCTTCATTCCCCTGGGCTTGGAGAATGCAAGTTCAGGCATGTCTTGTGGGGATTCCTGAGTCCTCAAGCAAGATTGAGCAATTCAGCAATTCCTCTGATATGGCCTCATGCAGGTGAGTCATTGAATTGAAGCTCTCTTGCTGAACAATGGGTGTTAATGATAGTTTTGACATCTTCCCTGTGCATTGATTATTTTCCTTGCTGTTGTCTCTGGTGAGCTAATCTCTGGCTGATTCCCCAATTTACATTTTTAATGGCAACCATACAACACAATCTCATAACTTCATATGCACTAAAATATATGTATTTAGACAGAGGATTTCAGCAGTTCATAACCTTTCCCCTATACTTCACGTGGCATGCTTTATATGAAATATCACAATTATTTACAGATGAGAAACATAGGAGGTTTAAGGGGACTCCCCCATAAAATTTCACAACCACATCCTTTGTCTCCTGTCTTTGTTCCAGTATAACCAGACAACAGAAGAAGCACCTTAATGTATTAATGCAGTAAGCTGTGGTGACTTTGAAGCATTCATTACTGAAAAACTACTTGATGATGTGTATTTTATAAATTCACAAAAAATATATTCACATAGTCCATACTTGAAAAATCAAAATTCAAAATAGTCTACATAACAGACATTATTAAAGTCTAGCTTGCTAGCTATCATACACTATTGTTCAGGGGTTGCTCGTTTTCAAGCAGTAGGTTAAAAGGTTAACCACATAAATAACAAACAGTTTAAGGACATTAGTTCATAAAATTAACAAAGAAAAGGAACTTCATTATTAAAACTGGTCATAATTCATCCTATGATATGATTTTTTAGTCCCATATTGTTGCAGTAACTGTCCACAACAAGTAGATATGTTAAATATAGCTTTAGTCTGAAATTTTTTGCTGAATAGTTCAGAATTTTGAGAGTAATTTAATTTAATTTTTGTATGTTAATAATTGCTACTTTGTTTTCTTTTTCTTCTCATGAATCAGATATTTGTTTTTATGTGTGCAAGTATTCCCTCCTCTCATGATAAAAGAAGACCAGTTTGTTCACAAACTGGTCATCTGGAGGCAAGCCTGGGTACATGTAGATAAATGGTAAATTTGTAGCAATTCATGCTTCCATAATGAGGTTAAATGAAACGTGAACTGTGGCAAAGTCTATGAAACACTGCTTCTAAAATCCATTTGACCAATATGTCAGACTTTTTTATTAATATTTTATTGCTGTTTCACTATCTGTACTGATTCAGAATGTTGAGTTTTGTTTTTCATTAAATTTGATATGTTTTATATTTATAATAATAGAAATCTTAGCTTTCTAAGCTACCAATAGTGTATTAGGTTATTTTTTGACCTTTTCATAAAGTAGATAGCCTTAAATTGTGAATAGAAATATTCTTTAAATTACACTTTATTGTTGTTCATTTATATTAAATTGTATGTGATATAATGAATAAAAACATAAGACAAAATTCCTTCAGAACCTGATTTTTCATTTTCCTGCTTATGTTGGCCTGTTCAATGAGTACTTCAGTACTGAGTAAAGTATCAGCTAAAATAAGAATGGCAGAATTATACCCTAATGAATCTAACTTCATGTGAATCTGTAGGCAGTAAAGGATAATACTAATGTGAGAACCGTTTTCTAAAATACTCCTTTCTATTACTCTTAAGTACTTTGAAAGTAAAGTTCAATTTCAGGGTGTGAGTTTCTTTCTGTTGTAAAGCCTGGTTGTGCAATGAGCCCCATGTGGGAAAAAAATAAAAGGGGGGTGATCTACTCATGCAGTTGGTAAAAAAAAATTAAGGATTAAATACAAAATTATAGGGCAAAATTATTTGCACTAAAATATTTCAGGAAATCAGGATCTTTACTATTATTCATAAAAAGTTAGATTCTAGTTGTAGATATAAATTCAGTTACATGAGTCAGTCTCATATTATGTAAGGCACATTGTTTCTGAAACTGGCTTTCTTTTAGAAACAGGTTCAGATTTAGAACAAGAAAGAATTTCTAACACATGTGACTAGTTATTTCCTATCTTACTAATGTGAACAAAATATCTGTTGAGATTTATCAGGAAAAAAATTGTAAATATTCAAGCCTATTTAAGGAGTGTCTTAAAAACAGCCCTTTAGTAAAGCAGAACTACAGTGTATTTTAAAACTCTTTGTAAAACATCTAAGTCCTATATCTCTCTTTCTTTTCAGATCTGGTTTGCTTTTGTTAATGGCTTTTCTGGACAAATTCTTTTTGAAAGATGGTGCATAGGTCTTTACAATGTGGTAAGGTTTTGAGGGGGTTAATCATTTAATTCCTATTTTGTTTAACAGTTTTTATTGAAGTATTTTAATTCTTTATGAAGTTTTTAGTTCTCAAGCTGTATCATATATATTTTTTATTTATACATTAGATGTTTACAGCTCTGCCACCATTGACTCTTGGAATATTTGAGAGATCCTGCCGAAAGGAAAATATGCTGAAATACCCAGAATTGTACAAGACCTCCCAAAATGCACTGGACTTTAACACAAAGGTAGAAGACAATTGCATTAAAATTAGAATAAACTTAGAAGTCATGCAGTGTAGTTATTCATTTCATTCCTTTGCCATACATTCTCATAAACTTAAAAATGTAGAGGCTTTTTTAATAATTGCCATGAATCTTCAGTGACTGGAAATAATTGTCCATGAAAAACACTAATCATATTTATCCAGTTTTTTTATATTCTGGCAAACATTATTTTTAAAAAAAACTATTTGTTTTTGTCTGCTGGTAATAAAGCTGTCTCCTTCAGGCAGAAGTGATTTGTCCGTTTGGTCCCCAAATCTTATGTACTTGAACAGTTGTGTGGAAATGGATTACTGACCCATGTGGAGAAGTAGAGCAAAGGACAATAAGAGCTGTCATTAAATTGGTAGGCGGAGGAGCCTTACACCATTCTTCATTAATTTTGGGCTGTGAAAAAATATGCTAGTCCTGTTTTAACAAGGAATTTAAATTCTGTATTTGGAGCTCAAAGGATAATATTGGTGGAAAATACATGGTGTCTATATTGCAAAGACTAGTTTTTAAAACATGGAAAAATTGAAACGGAAAGTTGGGCTTAGTTTTAGAATAAATACAATTTCTTGCAGATTTACACAAATAGAAAAAGAATATAAATATAAAAAGGCAATCTTTGAAACTGTAAACTTATGAATATAATTAATTTTTAAATACCAAGTTTGTATATTATATGCCATAGAATAGCACAAATCTGAAAACTCTTTTTGACATATACACATGGCTGGGCAGCACCCTTCAGTTGTTATGCTGGTTGGATTTTTGTGTATGTTTTGAATAGTATTGGATAGCATCAGATAGATTAAGTATACATTGGAGTAACCATTATTAAAAATAGAGACATTTAAGTTCTCAGTATGTGATTATCAATGTCTGCATATAATATTTGGTAATAGATACTGTATGATATAACGTAACATGATCAAACCTCCACCTAATGTAAATTGGTGTAGCTCTGTTTAAGTAAATAATGAATGTATATCTATTTAAACCAGTTGAGGAACTGGTCCATTATACCTAATGCAACATTAAGTTGTAAGTGGGCCTTGTTAGCATGAAGATGTGAGAATTTTTTCCTTTTACTCTTCCTTTTTTTCCCCTCTTGAGTAAAACTGAAAGAAGTTGCTAGGAAAAGTTTTTAGGGGGGGACTACTGTTTTATTATAAATCTTTTACAAAAAATTATAAGAATTGGGGTTTAGTCACATGATCCATTAGTAAGGTTGTATAAGCACCTTACTATGATATTAGCAAAAGTAGTACTTATAGAATTCTAAAACATTCATGTGTGTATATGGGAGCTGTATTCCGTGATTGTATTACTTTCTCTCCATATCCTATATTAGGTTAGTGTGTATGTTTGCATTAATAAATCATTTCCAAGTACCTCATATTATTTGAGACTTATAGCTAAATATGCCAAGACCAAAAAGAACCATGGTTAAAGTTATTTTGAAAAATCACATGACATACCACATAATAATTCCTGAATTTTCAGTTAATTAAATTTTCAGTCACTTAAATTAGGTCAGTTATGTCCATATATGGTGTTACATATAAAAAAATTGTATTTTGTTTCTTATTTTATCCTTCAGTGTTCAGAGTTGTCCAGGAGTTAAACACACAGCTCTTACCAAAATTGTGTGGCCTATATCCCTTGCAATGTTACCGAGCAAATGTCTACAAAATACCTAAGTAAAAACAGAATAGTTGGTGTGGGTTCTCAGTGTGGAAGAATTAGAATCATTGTTGCACTGAATGATGATGCATAGGTTTATTATGGTAAAAAGGGTCAGAGGCTATGAGGTCATGACAGAGGTTAAAGGATTAGCATGTGACAATAAGTATTGATCAGGAAAATGGAAAAGTAGAACTAATTTTTCTTGCACCCACCTGTGCTTTCTGTCAAATAAAAACTTGTGGTAATGACATGGCAAGATGGAGAGACAAAGGTTAATGAGTAACACAAGTTCAAATGTGTAAAGTATTGGAGCATAAATTGTATCATACAACCCAATGTTGCTGGGTAAGCTAACAAAGGTCATTGAAAGTTAGTGGAAAATGTTATGAGGCAGGCAACTTTATTTATATTGTTTGAACAACTTAACTTAAACAACTAAACTTAAACATGTCACTTTTATACAATAAATGTTATGTGTGTAAAAAAGCATTTCCAATGATAAAACATGATTGTTGTCTTGAAGGATACCAGAGTTTAAAATCCATTTTTCTCTATACCTTAGTCATGTAATTCATACCTATATGCAATAGGCTATAGAAAGCACCAATAGTATATTTATGCTTATTCTTAATAATAGCATGATTCCTACGAACAGTATTTGTCTTTTTAAAATGCTAATAAATTTGGTAGTAAAATTAGAGTCATTTAGCACAAATGTAACAGTTTTACACATTTAATAACTTGTCTGATGTCAAATAAGAAAGCATTATGGAAAGTTTATTATGAATTAAAGTACATTAAGAAGAAACACAAGAAAGATTATTTTTAATTTCCATTTGTATTAGATTTTGTATTTGAAATATGTACACTGGTTTGTATAGAAATGTTGGGTTTAACTGTCCTTTTATCCAAATTGTATACCAAGTGAGAGAGGTAAAATGAAATGAAACATTACATAATGTTTAATGCACTATCCAAGAAATGTAATAATGTTTGCAGTTGTCTGTTTTGTTGTACATTTTTCATCATAATCAAAACACTATTTTGTATATATTTTACAATTTTGAAATAATAGTTAAATTTAAAAGTGACAATAAGCACCTTTTTTAAACATAAAAATAAACACATGACCCATAAAGGGCTTGGAGACAGAAAGTGCCTGTCAGTTATATCAGTTCACAGTGGTGGCCTGACAAAAACACCTTTTGTGAATCTAACTGAAAGATAAAAAGAAGGGTCATGGTTCACAGAGCTAGTTTATCACAAATGGTTCTCATGGATTTTTGTTTTCCCTTAGGTTTTCTGGGTTCATTGTTTAAATGGCCTCTTCCACTCAGTTATTCTGTTTTGGTTTCCACTAAAAGCCTTCCAGTATGGTAAGTAAGTAAAACAAATACAAACTATTGTATAACCTTATTTGAAAAATAATAATTTCCAAAATTATACTAATACATGTTAACATGTTTACATTATTCTATTTTATGTAATATTTTTAGAACTAAAGCAGCCTATGCAATCTAAAAATTTTGATTCAAATTTTGGGAAAGAAAGAATATAGTACATTTTGTGCACAAGTGTGGGAGATAACTGAATTTATTTTAAAACAAATTTTAACAGTTTTTGTATGTCCCTATGATTTGATAGCTTACTTGATTATATACAGTTTACATAATAGTCAGTAGCGTTGTGTATTTGTATAATCTGTTTGACTGCCCTTAAAGTTTGGAAGACTGTATAACATATTAATCATTTCTGTACTTTTCAGGGGTATGTTAGCTCATCACTGTGTAGAGGACTGGGGGAGGGCATGGCAACTGTGAAGGTGATTGGATTAAGTTGGGTGAATACCACAAGGAGGACAGCTGAGTTTGGTTTCTACATTATGCATCTTTCAGACAAGGAGAAGGAGAATTGTAGCAGCTGTGTGGAATGGGTTTGGGGATATAGAAAGGTTCTGATATTTAGAAGGAGAAAATAGAAGGGCCACAAACATTGGGATCAAATATCTCAGGAGAGCTTCAGCAGCCAGGGTTGGGCTACTGATGGAGAAAAGTGAAAGAGGTAGGCCATCTACTTAGGTTATATGATGCAGAGTGGAGTTATATTACTGAGCACATCGATGTAGGATAAAGGTTCTGGTGGGAGTTGAGAAGTTCAGCTAGCTGAACAAAATGTCTGAGATGCTGTGGGAGTGCTCTTGCAGTCCAAGTTTGCCACAAAACTTACACACTGGTGTTATTATTGTAGGCTACTTTCTAAATATTCTGGATAGTCATTAGAGAGCTTGATTTTAAGTCCCCTGGTATGTGGGCATTTGTAAATATCTTTACTTTCATGTGTACATAGGCTATACAGATGGTCACTTAGGAGTGTACACATTGGGGATATGGGCATTTGCTAAAATGCTGAAGATCAGACCTTGAATATCTAAAAATGCAACCAAAGCATCTGAAAATTAATTGAGCTTCCAAGTAATGTTTTCCTTATGTTGCTTCTCTGCTTTGTTCTGAGATTCCTCTTCCATCTCATTTCTTGGTCATCTTTCCTCTTTTGTCATGTAGAAGATTCTAGACTACTTGCACTGTAGCATCTCTTATCAGGAAGCATGGAGAAAAAGAATAGTTAAAGGCTTAAAGTCTCCACCCCTTACATCTCTTTTTATTTATTATTATTATTATTAGTTATTTTTGTCTTCTGAAGTCTAGCTTTCAGTTCTTCCAATTTAGCTCTCTTCATTCAGTATAGTAATTTCTTTTTCAGATTAGGACATAAGAGCAAGATTAATACTAGGAACATATAGGGAGAATAGGGACAAGTTTAGGAAGCATCCAGCTAGAAAAGACCAGGACCATCTGGAGGCACTGCACCAGTTTGCAGGTCCCCAGTCTCTGATGACTTTTGGAGAACATCTAGTAGATTTCCTGTGGGAATGTTCAGGACCTCACTTTCAGGAAGAATGTACAAATGAACCCTTCAGAGGATCCTGTGGCTAGTCAACAGATTCCCACAGGTGGAAAAAATATCTGGGACAGAATGCTGGGCTAAATGGACATTTGGTCTAACCCAATATGGCCATTCTTATGTTCTTATGGAATGTACATCTATATTTCCATACCATATACTCATACCATTCCTTCTATCATCTTCCTCATCACCCTCGCCTTCCCCATCATTACCAGTGGCCAACATTCTGGCACCTGCCAAGGACTACATCTCCTTCTCCTACTGGCCCTAAGCTGGGATGCCACTTCTATAATATGTTATTCTGGAGTTATGATGTTGGATACATATTCAGTAGGGAATGTTTCTTATTCTCCTTATTTTTATTTCCTCACCTTAATGATGTGAAGAGTCTTTTTCCTATAAGTCAGTATATCATTGATCTCAACTTGTTATTACCTATGTCAGTTCATTACCCTGGAACTTTTGTGGCTGTGTATCACATTTGCTATTTCTGTCCTACCCAGTTACTCAATCTGCTCATAACCGGTTGTTTCAGGTTTTTCCAAGTAATGATGTACCTGCTAAGTTTGAGGGTGTTCTTGGAAGTCTCTGTTTCTGTCTTACCATCTGTCCAGGAGTAAGGTCCAGAATATACGCAAGTCATCTTTGCTATCTGGGTGAAAGGTCCCAGGCAAAAATACTAACCTTGCCTTACATACAGGATGCAAGGTTAGGTAGCAAAAAATGGATTGCGCAGTATACTTTCTACTACAGACTGAATCTACCTGCCTTTTGAATTCTGTGTATTTCATTCTCTCAACCCAAACTGATTAAAAAGGAAAAGAGCACCTGTCTCTTTTTCCCTCTGTATTGGCCATTATTTCCTTCCTTACTATCACACACATTTCCCTTCTTTTTCTTCCCATTTTTCACCCCCTAGCTCCTTTTTTTCAGGTCTTTTTCTGTAAATACACAGATTCACAAAGTTGTCCAATTTTCCCCATCTCAAATAACAAATACCCCAAAAAAGAGTTAAAATGCTAGGACAGAAGAGTACATTGAGTGAAGTTTTTGTGTTTGTAATTTCTTTGTATAAAAATGTATTTTGCTTTTATGGAAAGGTTATGTTTCCTTCATAATTCATGGTTGGAAAGTTCTGAAGGGTTAAGGCATTAAATAGTAGTTCTCCCTGCCCTGACCAGTCACTGGTCACCACTACTGAAGACGACCTAAAAGACTCAAATTTTGCCTTCTCTTGTGTTGGGAGCACCAGAGCCAATAACCAAAACAGAGAGTCCCGAGTTAGACTATACTTTTACAAAAACAGAATTACCCATAAATAAACCCTTTTTTACCAAATCATCCTGTTTTTCTTGCAGGTACAGTATTTGGCAATGGCAAAACTTCAGACTACCTGCTCTTGGGAAACATTGTTTATACTGTAAGTCTTGCTATAGTTGTCTGGTGTTCTATTCGCTGATTTTTTTTCCTAATCTATCTCTTTTTATTTTGCCACCACTTCATTTTATTTATTCATATACATACTTAACTAGAAGACTTACCCAGCATTGCCCATGTCTTTCGGGACAGGGAGCTGGTAGTATGGGGGGTGCAGGAGTCAGGTCAGGGCCTTGGGGATGTGGTAAGCTAGTGCAGGAGGTTGGGAGTGGAGGGATGCAAGAGTGAGGGTTGAAGAGTGAGAAGGGGCTCAAGGCAGGGGGGTTCCCATCTGTCATGAGCCTTTTCTCTCCTCCCCCAGCCTCTCTCCAGCCTCCATGGGACCCTTTTTTTCACCCAACCCCCTCCCCCAGCCACCAGGGGCTGTTTCTCCCCCTCCCCATATGCTCCCCCAGTTGCCAGGGGGCTTTTCTCTCATCCTAACTCCTGCCCCACCCACCAGGACCCTTTTCTCTCCCCCCAGCCTCATCCCAACTACCAGGGGCCTTTTTTCTCTCTCCCAGCCCCAGTGCTGAGGCCAAGGGCCAGGATGGAGAAAAGTGTTTGGGGAAGTGGGCTACTTACCCAGTGTGCTGGCAGGTGCAATGACAGAGCCCCAGCATAGCTGGCCATAGTGTTGCTCTTTTTAAGAATTCTGGAAGTACACTCCCCAACTTATCCCTGTCAGATACTGGAAGCCACTTCAGATTCTTAACCATGATTTTTTCATATGCATTACCATTAAATGTTAAACATATGACCTTTGTGGGACTTTTCAATTTGAATTCCTGTAGTTTAAAGACAATCAGACTTATTAAAGAAAAATAACAAATTTATCTCCTTTTTTAATAGTTTGTGGTGATAACAGTGTGTTTAAAAGCTGGATTAGAGACTTCATATTGGACCTTGGTAAGAAAATACTTATTATTCATGCTGTCAAGTACACTAGGGAAGTATGTGATAGATTAAATATCCTTACTACATTCTTATTAATTACCACTAACAGTTATTACATTTATCACCCAGAGCACACTACCCACTTTACAGTACCAAGTAAAGATACAGTCCATGCCTTTAAGATTTTGTGTATACTCTGAAATGAAAAAATATTGTGGGCCAAAAAAATGAACAGTGATGGAGACTTAGGACAAGGATTAAAATAATATCGCTGTCTATACACCATCGCCCAAAGGTGCTGACTTCCCCTCTACCTCTGGGTGCTCAATCCCTCCCAAGCCTGCCCCCACTCCACTCCTTCTCCCAAACCCTGACCCTGCCTCTTATCCATCCCTGCTCCACTCTCACCTCACCCCATTCCACTCCTTTGCCCCAGTATCTTTTCCCAAGCATATTGCATCCCTGTTCCTCCCCTTTCCTTCCCAGAACCTCCTGAATGCTGTGAAATAGCTGTTCATAGCAGGTGGGAAGTTTTGGGAGAGAAAGGGAGAAGTTGGTCAGCAGGGCCACAAGTGGGTGAGAGATACTGGGGGAAAGGAGGCAGATGGGGTACTTGGCTGCCAGTGGGTGCTGAGCGCCCCCTAATTTTTCCTCACAGGTGTTCCATCCCCAGAACACTCACAGAGTCATTGCCTAAGGATTAGAATCACTAAAGCATATGAGTGTTTTTTAAATTTACTTTTGAAAATAAATATTATCTTGCTCCAACAAATGGGCATTAGTAGTTTTACCATTGGCTTAGCAGACACAGAGTTGAACCACTGCTGGGCATTTTTGAAAATCCCACTTTCCGTGTCAGAATTGCACAATGAACTTCCAAGGGAAAAGACCATTTCTCTCAGAATGTTCTGTGTAGAACTGAACTCATTGTAAGCACTGAATAAATACTAAATATGTTTTAATTGTTCTGTTTGGCTTTTTTTTCCAGTTTAGCCATATAGCAATATGGGGAAGCATTGCACTTTGGGTAGTATTTTTTGGAGTTTACTCATCTCTGTGGCCTGTGATTCCTATGGCACCTGACATGTCTGGAGAGGTAATATATGTCTTTTAACTAACCTTCAAATTTCTGCATAAAATGTGGTTGAATTGCTCACTTAGAGTTTTGTTTTGTTGGATTGTATGGTTTGCCACAATGACAGGAGAGGATTGTGAGGATTTTACCCAATATTTGAGAGGATTCTTTTAACACTGCCATAATGTACTAGACAAACTTCTGACATACTTGTGTATCTGATTCTTAATTGAAAAACTGAAAGTTTATGCCATAATAAAATTGTTAGTCTTTAAGATTCCACTGGAGTCCTTGTCTTTGCTGAAACAGACTAACACTATCTGAAATAAGTCTTATTTGCTGTTTTGTTATTATCTCGTTAAAATAACAAAGGTCTATAACCTTTTATACAAAATTAGTTCAGCAGAAAAGAGTTCTCTATGTAGCTACATTGCATAGCAAAATTGGAGACCAAACTTAACTTAGATGTAAGATTGATAATACCTTGGCAAGTTAAAATTTTCAATGAAAATGTTTCACACAACTATGGGACTGTTTTTCACATAGTGTTTGAAGGTTTGTGGTTCAAATCTTGATGATGATGCACACTAGTGAGTCATTGCACTAACACATAATAAATTTTGGTTTACCTTTCTTTTTAAAAAAAATTAGGATGTTAAATATAGGTTAAATTAAAGTTATTTATTTAAAACTGTTGAAAGAAGTTAATTTGTGCACTGGTTGAAGCAGGGAGTTTGTGGGAAAAATAATACCTAATAATGTAATTATACTTAAAAAAACAACAAAAAGTCTGGTAGCACTTTAAATAGTCTGGTAGCACTTTAAAGCTTTCGTGTTCACAGCCCACTTATTCCAATGTTATTAAAGACTGCTTTACACACAAGGATTGGGGAAGGGGAATTACAGTTGTATAAATTGTTTCCAAACCTTTGCCGCTTGAATAACTTCATTTTAACATTTGTTGTATATGGGATAGATACATAAAAGAGAGAGAGGGTGGAGTGGTGTCCCACAAAGTAGCATTACCTTAGGAGGGCTGCATTACTCACATTGTATGTACTGTACATTAAAGTGTTTTGTTTTGGTAGTGATGATTGTTTTGTTTTGTTTTTTTATTACATATATGGTGCTGTGTGTTTAAATTAGAAAAGGCAAGGTCAGAAAATTGTGTATTGTACTTGGAGCAGAAAATGGTGAGCTTTGTGAACCTTTATTTCCTGGGAATTCAAGATGAAAAGTGAATCCTAGCACATCTACCCCTAATATAGGTAAAATTGTTGACAAGAGGAACAGGCAACACTGGTGAGCAATGGATTTGGTCCCCTCTGACTCAAGCACTAAACATCTTTATCTCTAGCATTCTTTATACACTTTATTTTATTTTGAACCTTTACAGTTAAGCACATTCAATTTCATTTTCCACCTCTTGAGTCTGTTCTAGTAAGTAAAGCTACTATAACCTTTTTAGTCTTAGGCATAGATTATAACATGATAGAGCTTGAAATATTAAATGTCATAGGAAATAGTCATAAGATCTGTTTTCTACCATAAGAGATTATACAAGTAGCAGTAAACCTTATAATTTCGGCTGAAGGAACTTTGACATACATAATATGGGAGAGAAAATGTGAAAAATGTTTCAAAATTTCCTCTGATCTCACAGCAACTTTCCAGTCTTGGTAATATGAGCTGAACAATGCTTAACTGCAGTGACAATAAACTTTTCAATAAGCTTCACTGTATTTGTTGCCCAGAAATACTGAATTAATACTTCCACGCTAGAAAAATCTGCTTTACAGATCATTTTCCTGAAATTTTGCCTGACAGCACTGTGTTTTTATAAATTATTAGAAAGGAAACACAATTCTTTGCCGTCACTTGTGGTTAGATTTATTAGGAAGATTATCTGTTTGACTCCACTACAGACAACCCAGACATATCCTGGGATTTTCACTTTCTCTAACCTAAAAAAGGGAAAAGAAAAATGAGAGAGATGTTAGATGCCTAATTCTTATAATTGTTCATAATTTACAACGTTTTTAATTTCGATAGTATGCAGGCTTCCCCCAAAACTTCTTCTTGACCTTGATCATCCCAGAAGCATAGATGAGCATGGAATGTGGGTAGGAGAAAAAGGTCTGTTGTTATGGGGAAGGGCTGGGAAAGTCTGCTTCCAACAGTCTCTCTATCGCGTGTCTGAACCAGCAGCTTCTCAAGCCAATGCTGCTGTCTGCCTCCCAGCAACACTGTCTTGAGTACTCGGTCACTGCAACTCTCGTAGAACCACCAGCACCTCTTCTCCCTACCCTTGCTTCTACTTGCAACTCCACCCCACCAGTCACTTTCCTGCTGCCCAGCAGCAACCAGAACGTCCTCCCTCTCTTATTTGTATGGAACTCTGACCTATTCCTTTCAGAGCTCCACCTTCAGCTCACATCATGTGGCTTCCAGCAGTTTGTTTACTTATGGCAGCATACACATACACACATACACCCCTTCTTCTCTAACCCTGCTCTGATCAACTAACTCCATTTACTGCCCTTCTCCCAACTCCTTTGTTGACCATTGCCTCGTTTCCCACTCATTGACTACATGCTTATTTCCCTACCCCCGTCCACCACTCACTGCCTACCGACTCCTTTACTCCCTTCCATATTCACTGCCCACCTAGAATCTCGCCCACAACTTCTACCACCATAAAAATCTATGCACTTTTTACCATCTGGAGGTGTGGCATCCCATCTTTGATGAGCTTCATAAGATATTGACAGTCTGCTCTTGGGTTATCACTCTGAACCAGGAAACATTGCTGCATCCAAGTCTAGGCATTCTACTCCTAAAACGTAGCTCTTGAAAAAGTAGAGATCTGTAGGACTGTTGTTGCTGTGCAAGTGACATATCCTCCTGGAAGCCATCCATCCAAAAAAATTCAAATTCAAATTGGAAAAGATTTGTGGTTTGATGCAGCAAGCACCAAGAGAACTTTTTTTCTTATGCTGCTTGATTACCTTCATAAACTGTCTGATGCTAGCTTAGAGACTAATTCCATCCAAGTATATCAGTAATGTGCCCTCCTAGCTATTTGCTGAAGATAGACAAATGAGCACCTGTTCATCAGGTTCATTTGACCCTTAAACACCTACATCAAAAAGCTTCCTGCATCATGGTATATGAATATGGTCCTGAAAAAGATGATGGAAACTTTTTTTGACCACTCAGTTTCTTTGACCTTAAGTTTCTTACATGTTTTTTTTCCTGGTGACAGCAACTTCAGCAAGCAAGTTTGGTGGTTCGTTGATTGATCCAGATTTTACAAGGATAGTGTGGTGCTGTAGGCTCATCAGCGATTGCTTTCCAATGTAATGACTGTTTTTCATTTTAATAAGTCTATTTTTAAACAATTTTTCCACCTTTATGTATGTATGTCAGTGAAACCCTTCTCCATACATAGATGTTAAAAAGTCAGGGTTCTGCTTGGAGCACACTAACGCTCTTGGACAGGGCCAGCCCGAACCATTCGTGCGCCCCGGGCCCCTGGAGCGCTGCGCTGACCCAAGGAGTGTGGCACATGCGCGGTCCCGCCCCTGGGCGCAGCACATGCACAGCCCTGCCCCCGGGGCACTGGTGCATTTGCGGACCCACCCGGTCCGGCAGCCCCATGCGGCGCCCCCTACAATGGGGCTCCCTGGGCAGTAGCCCAGTCAGCCCACAGCTTGGGCCATCTCTGCTCTTAGAAGGTCAACCAAACTTTCTGACATCAGTTCACTTGACAATTCTGTTAGTAAGATGAGCAAGTAGTTGTCTAATTGAATTTCATATTTCAGTGACTAGCTTGCCTGATCTACAACTAGAAAGTCAGGTCAAGATTCACAAGGCTCACCACAAACTACTGCAAGAATATTCTTATCACATGCCTCTATAAATCTATTTTAACTGACAATATAGAAAATATGCCACTCGTATTCCAAAATAAGAGTCTTCATAAACAGACTTGTACCAAAACAACTAAAGGCACGAATAATACTAATTATTTTAATTAGTATTTAAAATGTAAATAATTTTTAACTAATGAAAGTATTTAGAAGTTAAAAGTTGATTCCCATATACATGAAGACAAGTCCTTACTTACACTGAGGAACTCTGATTCAAGGGTAACAACTCTGTTGGAATGAAATCTGTTGGAACAGTATCTTAATAATTTCCCCACATTTCTCTTTGTGTTTAGTGACCGCTACATAGGGTTCAGAATTCAAGCTAAATGCTAAATTATATTTGTCCCCAACATACTTGAATACTCTCTTTGACTTTCTGCTTATTTAATATTTGTATTATAAAATATATACAGAAGCCTGGAAAGGTTAACCAAAAGAACAGGAACAAGAGCTTGCATTGTATTTTGAAACTATAGTATTTTCTAACTGTATAACCATATGATATGTAGCTAATCTGGTTTGCTTAAACATCTTAAAGTCAAGTCCGTATCTCTTTATCTTTGTTGTAGCATTTTATTTTGTAGAAACATTTTTCCTTTGCCAGACTGTCTGAAAGTCAAAAAAGCTATATTCCAGCATAACAGTGTCAGGTGAAAAAGCATTGTTAATCTACAATGCAGTGTATTGCCAGGTGGAAACACTGTCGGTGTTTTTCTGTATTCCACATTACAGCTTTTGGGAAAATATAGCTGATCTTGTAGTAACTTATTTGTGGTATGTTTCTGTAGCTAATCTAGTTATGTTGGAATAAACCTCTACATTTAAAAGTTTCCTATGTATACATAATTCTAATCAAAGTCCTTATTGGTTGTTCATGTTTCAATAGAGTAAAATACGATAGGAAACAGACATTGTATAACAGAAAGTTTCTCTAGCTCTCATGAAGATTTTTTTTTTATTTAGAGGAGAGCTAATGAAGAAAGCAATTTGGTTTAAATAATGATAGAATAGGAAAAAATTGCTATGATATAGTTAGCTGGTATAGTTGTCTCCCTCTCCTCAAATAAATATGGACATGATTTAATAGGA